TCCTCGTCTGTTGCACAGTCCAGCTATGAGGCTGAGATCTACGCCGGTGCCATGGCGGCACAGGAGCTCCGCTGGCTGACCTTCTTGCTCACTGACTTAGGTGAGCGACCTAGCTCTGCCCCGGTCCTGTTCGCTGACAACAGGGCCATGATCCTCCTGTGTCAGGAGCCTCGACTCGAGGGCAGAGCGAAGCACATTCAGCTGCGGTACTTCCTCCTGCGTGAGCTACAGCAGCGACGTCAGGCTCGCGTAGTACACTTGGCCTCAGGTGCCAACACGGCTGATATCTTTACGAAGGCGCTTGCGCCTAAAGATCATCAGCGGCACTGTGTACAGCTTGGTCTAGTTCCTGTAGCCTCTCACTTGCTAGGACCTTGACTTTGTACTGTCCTTTATATGTATACTCAGACTGGACTTGTGTCCTCTCCCAGTGGCTGGACTAGTAGTGCCGCCCTGCTCTTTGCTTGCCTTGTCTGTACTCCTTCTGACTGGTCGCTCAGACCCTTGTCTCAGAGGTTGGACTAGTAGTGCCGCCCTGAGCTGTTTGTTTAGGACTTTCCCTTATGCAGTCTAGGGGGTGTGTCAAACATGTCTATTTGTTATGTTTGTATAGACTGTATAGGGTAGCCTCTTAGAGGGTACAACACTTAGCTATATTGTGTGTACTCTCCCCCTATCACCATCATTCAATTTTCTGATAGAAATAAGGTGCAGAAGCGTAACGATGACGAATGTCGGTCGCAAATGGTTAACTGAACACGCCGGAAAGTCGTCGGAAAATTGCAGCACAGCTGCCCTGCTCCCCTCTTCAAAAGAAAGCAGCTCCGAATATCCCAGGTAAAACCGAAGAAAATCCAAGGCTCCGGGGGCGTTGAAATAAGCCCGAACTGCTGCTGAAAACCCCAGAACTCAGCTTCCAGGATACTGTTGCAAAACTCCAATCGATAGAAGTGCTTAAGTATGCTCCAAACTTGAAATGTCTCCGCAGGGTTAAACCGCTCCAGTAGTCTGGAAAGCCCACAACAACTGCGTCAGAAGACTCCCACAGTATGGTTTTTTTTTTTTTTTTTTTTTTTTTTTTTTTTTTTTTTTTAACACAGCTTGCGAGCTGGTCCCAACACAGCTCCACAGTACTGCTGCAAAATGTCCTGTTAAATCCGATACTGCTCCTGATGGGTGGCGAGGATGCGGTGGGGTCGTGTTCACAGTGTCGGACGAGTTGAGAATGGGGGTGGTAGCGGGTGGTGGCGAGAGGAAGACTACGTTGGCAAGGACCTGTAACTTGTACCGAAACCACTCCCGTGAATATCCTCGAACAGAACCCGATTTCAGATGAAACCAGCTGCATCTGACTTTTTGTCTGTACACGCCGAAATTTTCGGGAAGAGCCGAAATTGCTACTGCTCCCCCCTCTGCTCCATATAACAAAATACTGCGCAAATGTCGGTCCGATGTCGCTCGTACCCCTGAAGATGGCGGGCACAACTCCAGCTGTAAAACACTTGAACCGCTGCATGAACTCTCCGAAAATGTCGGAACCACGCAGTACTTAGTAGATACCGTAACTCCGCTTCACAACTATCCGTAGAAATGCCCAGGCGACATGGCGTCCTTTAGCAGCGCCCCAACGGTTTCTCCACCAGCTGTACGCATGAACTGAACCCTTTATCTTAGGGTTTACCAGAGTCCACCGCGTCGACATGATGTTTTGGCCGTCGATCAGGGTCAATGCGCATCATACGCCGTCGATCTCCGCCCAGCTATTACCCAACACTAAAATAATCCGGCACCCCTGTCCAGTTGGCCGTGCAGACATTCACCCATCTCGCGGCTGCTGCAGGTTACCCAAAACCGCTTCGCTGCTGCTTAACTAACTAGGAGAATCCGCAGAGATAGAAGTGCGCACGCTTCTAGTCAGAGGAGCTTTAACGAGCTCGCCTACTGACCGCTGGACCGCTCCCGCCTCCGTCGGAAACTCGTCAAACTACACCCGCAAAAGTCGGAACCTCCTCCTGCCGCACCAGGTAAACTCCCTCAGCTCCACTGCAACAGCAACTCCCCTTTTTTTCGTTTTCTTCTTCAGGGACACTCCATCAGCAAAGTGTAGTTTGCAGGTTCACCCCCCTTATTCATCCAAGAGCCGTTGATTAACAAGTCGACACTGCTACCTGGTGGGAATGGTGATTTCCGGGCGACGTAGCTGAGCGAATAGCAGCTCGAACGCCGCTAACCCATCTGCTCCAGTACTCCCGTCGTTCTTCTCCCACTGCTTAGCTCCTGACAGGTAACGCATTCGGCGACCGGTGGAAAAACACTTAATACACACCCGGGGGTGGTGGCCTCCGTTTCCGTTGATCGTGAGGGTATGAATCGCTGGTCCACGAAAAACGCCTCCCCACGAGGGAAGTCGCCCTCGCTGAGTATACTCACTCCAGCACAGCGTCATCACCTCCAGATGGTCGTCGTAGTGTATAGCGCCGAGGTCGTTAATCCCAGCTACTCCCACACAACTGCACACCCACACAACTTCATGCGATCGTGTCGTTCCGAATTTGTCGGATCCGCCCATTGCCGAAATAGTGTCGAAGTCCCGTCCATCGCCTGCAACTAGCCTGCCGGAAACGCCGACGCCAGCGACGCAATTGCATTTCACCATGCAGCTACATGGCACGACAAACGCCCATTGCGGTGCGTCCCGCCATTTTCGCCACCCCGCGCGTTCCTGACGACCATCTCCCGGCCGCCTGAGGACTCCCGTGCACTTGTCTCCTCGCGACGACCAACTCCCGGCCGCCCGACGACTCCTCGCTATTTTTGGAAGCCAATCTGAACACTTCGCTAGAAACTCCCGAAAATTCCGAAACACTAACGAACATACCCGAAAAAACACGGCGAAAACGTCGCCACCTATTCGATAGGAAATAATCCCGTCTACGCCCGGGGAAGGGGAGGACCGGCGAATCCCAGCCGTCCATCGGACTGTTGAGTGACCCGCTGGGGTTGCCCTTGAGATCCTCGGGGAAGGGCCACAGGTGCAGAGCCTGGGGGGCTATGGGCGCACTTACCCGCTACTCAACAAGCCCTTTTAACCCAGTGGTTAGTGACTGGGTTTCTGACATGGTATCAGAGGTGTGTCTCTTCAGAGGTTCAGCCTTCAGTTCTCCTCTGCACAGCCCACCCCTCTGCCTGTAGACCACAGGCTCTCCGCTCCAGTGCCTGAGGAGTTGGTAGAGCCCAGCGGCCCCTACGCAGAGCTGGTGGGTTGCCTCATGTACCTGATGACTTGCACTCGCCCAGATCTCGCATACCCTCTCAGCATCCTGGCTCGCTTTGTGGCCACAGGCAGACACCGACCGCAGCACTGGTCTGCCGCTAAGAGGGTTCTGCGTTATCTTGCTAGTACATCGGGCATGGGGTTAGTGCTAGGAGGACGCAGGCCAGCGGTCCTTACTGGGCACACAGACGCTTCGTGGGCAGACGACGCTGAGACACTCCGGTCTACCCAGGGCTACTGCTTCAGCCTTGGCTCAGGTGCCGTCTCGTGGAGAGCTACTCGCTCCTCGTCTGTTGCACAGTCCAGCTGTGAGGCTGAGATCTACGCCGGTGCCATGGCGGCACAGGAGCTCCGCTGGCTGACCTTCTTGCTCACTGACTTAGGTGAGCGACCTAGCTCTGCCCCGGTCCTGTTCGCTGACAACAGGGCCATGATCCTCCTGTGTCAGGAGCCTCGACTCGAGGGCAGAGCGAAGCACATTCAGCTGCGGTACTTCCTCCTGCGTGAGCTACAGCAGCGACGTCAGGCTCGCGTAGTACACTTGGCCTCAGGTGCCAACACGGCTGATATCTTTACGAAGGCGCTTGCGCCTAAAGATCATCAGCGGCATTGTGTACAGCTTGGTCTAGTTCCTGTAGCCTCTCACTTGCTAGGACCTTGACTTTGTACTGTCCTTTATATGTATACTCAGACTGGACTTGTGTCCTCTCCCAGTGGCTGGACTAGTAGTGCCGCCCTGCTCTTGTGCTTGCCTTGTCTGTACTCCTTCTGACCGGTCGCTCAGACCCTTGTCTCAGAGGTTGGACTAGTAGTGCCGCCCTGAGCTGCTTGTTTAGGGTATTCCCCTATGCAGTCTAGGGGGTGTGTCAAACATGTGTATTTGTCATGTTTGTATAGACTGTATAGAGTCACCTCTTAGAGGATACAAAACTTAGATATATTTGTGTGTACTCTCACTTTACCATTTATTCAATTATTGTGACATGGTATCAAAGCCAAAGGTCTTGGGTTCAACTCCCAGTGCCAGCGCTGCAGAGGCGCTTGTGTCTTCCACCTATCCCAGCGGGGGGGGGGGTGTTGAGTGACCCGCTGGGGTTGCCCTTGAGATCCTCGGGGAAGGGCCACAGGTGCAGAGCCTGGGGGGCTATGGGCGCACTTACCCGCTACTCAACAAGCCCTTTTAACCCAGTGGTTAGTGACTGGGTTTCTGACACGGACAAGATCTGACGGCATCGGCAACGCCCGCGCAATTAATTTCCTCGACGTGCGCTCGCCATCAGCATCCTTCCGCCCCTTCCCGGATAGGGTCTGCTCCCCTATCGGAAACTAGATGGGCAGAATCGGGGCTCTGATATCAGCTGTTATGAATTATAACTCTGAGTATAGCACATAATACTATAAGGGAACGTGATTACAGAATCCTCCTGAATAATGAGACCTAGGGCTTATATAGTGTGAGTTGACCAGGTCGAAATGTCGAGGGTTGGACCAGTCGAGGGCTAGGTAGTCCCGACCGAGGGTGATGGGGTCAAAACGGGTTTAGGGCGACTTAGGGTCAGGTTGGGGCCGAAAAGGACGTCAAGGGCTGGTTTGGCGCGATAAACCAGGGCCGAGCCTGCGGGCCCGCGCTGTTCGCGGCACTCGCTGTGGCGAGTCCCAGTAAGGAATCGGAATTCCTTACAGAGCTGCTCCTGTCGAAATAGAATTTCTCCAACGGTAAGTAATTTTCTTAACGAATTATGAAAGGCTCATGCGAAAGCTAAAGGTTGTGTGAAAGCTAAGGTTCGCACATGTGAATCAAAACCATCTGATAACCCCATTTTCTGTTTTTCAGGCCCACACAAAGGCGGCAAACCAAAAAACATTTCTACAAGCAGTGATATTAGTTCATGCCACTACTCACCATCACTCCTGCGACGGCAGCAAGGACTTGACCACAATTAGCTCCCCATTAGGCCCCACCGCAAGATGATCCGAGATCCTAACAGTACCACCACCACCACCACCACCACCCCCGCTTCGATCCCTCCCCCTCAGCAGCATCGACGGTACACCCACATTCGCCTCCCCCCCAGATCCAGCCTGCACGCCAACTCCTAGAATAGTGGGCAAGCCAGGGCGACCAGGGACAGCATCTATCTCCCACTCTGCATCCCCCTGGTGCTGCTGTTGCTCGCCTATGATCAACACGTTCACTCTAGAGGATGGGACGGAGAGCGACTGTGCAACTGCTGCTGCCTCGCTCTGAGAGTATAACGAGTCGTCTTCTATGGAGAATGGAGGCGGGAGGAGAGGGTTTCCGGGCAGGCTGACCGGCAGGAAGCCGGGCAGATGGAATGTTGAGGAGAGTGGGGTGAGGGAGGGTGAGTGGGGAAGGAAGGTGGGCGGGTTCGTGGTGTGGTGGAGGAGGTAATTGAAGCGGTAGGCAGGTGTACTGCGGGAGGGCGTGGGGCTGGCGATGGGAGCACCTGAAGAAGGCAATGCTGCCCAAGGGTCACCTGGTGGATGAATATGTTAGAAGGCAATGCCGTCATTCATAAAGAGCGGATGTTAGATTACAAGCGCAGCAGAGATGCGACATCCCGGTAAAAGGAGGGCTTTAGTCGGAAAAGAGGCAGTGACGCCATTGCAAACACAGTGGTCCAAAAACCACAAAGATTCAAGAGATCTCTTCTGCTGCTGATTCTGCTGGCCCGCACCCAGGCATAGCATCTAATAACGGGGATGGCAGACCCATCCTGCCTTCGATATAAGCACCTCCCTCCTCCTCACCGGCTCTTTGCTCCTGCTGAGCTGTCAGTGCTGATGTGGCGCTTGAGTCCGGGATGTAGGAGGCAGGAGTGAGGTTGGAGAGGGACGAGGGGGAGGAGGCGGAGGATGGGAGGAGGAAGAGGAGGGCAGTGGTGGCTGCGAGTGAGAGGCCCAAACCCAGCAGGGTGGTTTTAAGACGATTGAGGACTGGCTTCACCTGGCAGGAGAGTTGGGGGATGGTGAATGGTGAAGGGAAGGGTCAAGAGAATGGAGGCCTGGGGAAAAAAGGGGGAAGCGTGGGGAAGAAGAGGGCAGAGACGAGGAGAGAGACTGTAGGAAGCACACGGGGCGAGCAAAAGGTGATTTCTGAGTCGACTCAAGAAGCACACGGGGCGAGCAAAGGGGGGAATGCCGTGTCCCGGTGCCCTGCGAAACGCACCTTGTAGGAGGCCAGCAGTCTGTCTCGCGCCAGCAGCTCCGGCGTCTTCACCCAAACCTGGCCGTCATACCATCCCGTCTCCTCGTCTGCACCGAGGGGAGGGGGACGAGGTGGCAGCAGGGAGGGATTCTACAGGTTTGAGGGGTGTGTGTGTGTGTGTGTGTGTGTGTGTGTGTGTGTGTGCGGATAGTCTGTAGCACGGATTGCAGCACGAATAGTCTGTAGCTCACATCTTACAAACCGGTAGCTCACATTCGACTGTAGCGCTGAACAGTCTGTTGCCGATGTACGACCACCCCAGATACAGCCGAAGCGCCGCCAAAGTAACCGCCAGTTGCCCGCCGCCCAGCGACCCCAGTAGGCACTGTAGCGCATCCCTCTGCGGGGGGGGTGGGGGAGGGAGAGGGAGTGAGTAAACGAAAAGGGGGTTGCGAGAGGAGGCAGTGAGGGGAAGTTTGAGTCCATATGAGGTTTTTGCACTTCGTCCTGCAGTTACGAATGTGGGAGGAGGGGGCGTTGGGGGGGAGACAAAAAAGACGACGAGGGAGGAGGGGGAAGAGGCGCAGGGGAGGCGGGCGGGAGGAGAGAGGCGGGAAGCGAGAGGGGGAACGGGGAGGCGGGCGGGAATGGGGGGAAAGGGAAGGGCATGAGGGGAAGGGGAGGGGAGGGGAGGGGAGGGGAGGGGAGGGGAGGGGAGGGGAGGGGAGGGGAGGGGGAGGGGTGAATTGGAGGGGGAGCTCCCAAGAAGATTCTTGAGGTGCCTCAAAGCCCATACGTGAGATTCAACTTCCCCTTGACAGTTCAGACTTCGAATCTCGTTGGGCTTCCGTGGGGCCCTTCTTGCCTTGACATTCCAACGCCCCTACCGCCCCTACCTTGGGGTCGAACGTCAGCGACGCGACAGGCCAGCCAATCAGCGCAGCAACGGCCACGCCGACGCCGACGAGGCGCAGCGCGTAGCTGAGGCGGTCCAGCGTGACCCACGGGAACACGGCCGACTCGAGCAGGCTCTGGTACTCGTTAATAGGCTGCTGCTCCTCCGGCACCGGGCAGTCCGTTCCCGAGTCTGCTAATAACGGGTCCCACCGCGGCCCGCTTCGCTGCGCCGGGCCGTCGTCGGCTTGCGCGCGCGGAACGGACACGCGGAAGGCGCGCTGGCGGCGGGGAGGGGCTCGGCGCGCAGTCCGAATGAAATCGACGGCTGGATTTGACCGCACCGGGAGGAGCGTCCGATGAGATGGGGACACGTGGCAACTCGCTGGTAGCGAAGCCATTGGCGCGTCTAAGGTTGAAGCTGAGCGCTCGCTAGGAGAAGCAAGATTGGGTGAGGCGATGTGGAAAGTTGCCGTGAAATCGAAGCAGACGCGACTTGCAGGGGAACGGTCGCCGTAGGACAGCAGGAGAAGCTAGTAGTAGCGGATCGAGAGAGACGGGGCGAGCTGCTGCTGGCGATCCTTCATGATAAATAAGATGAACGCGTCGGAAACGCGCGACAGCGACTCGAAATCACTCGCCTGACCGCTACAAGACGCCGGACCGCTACAAGCCGCCGGACCGCTACAAGCTCCGCTCAAAATGCACCCGGAATCACGCGGGACCGCTACAAGCCGCCGCCACAGTATGGCAAATCCTCGCGATTACACGCCGCGAAGGCACGGCAAGAGCGGCGCGAGAGGCGGCAGAGAGAAAGGGAGTAGGGCGGGAGGCGCGGCGGGCGCGGAGGAGCACGCTATGTTCCACTGCTGTACACGTACTAGAGACGCAGCTAGATGCAGGCGTTGTGGTGAAATAGTCGCCACGCGTCTGACAGCCAGTGAAAGCTGGGCACGTTGCCGAGCTATGTCCGCTTTATGGGAGGAACTCCGTGGAACTCGTGGAAAGTGTGGAATACAAGTTAAAGGCTTTCATACAAGTAAAAAGTGTGGAAAGTATTCCGTAAAAAGGCTAGCATACAAGTAAGATTCTGTATTCGATAAGGCCAAACTTCCTATCTCACTTCTCCGACATTTCCCCCCTATGCGTTAGCGTAGTGGAATTCTTATAAGCTCCCATTTCCCATTGTAGAGCTCCACTACTTGTGTCCTTCATAGCAACCCTCCCAAATCCAACGGTACGCCATGGCCTAAGTGCCAGAAGGCAGCTTGAACCCCAGCCTGGCGAGCCCTTCTCCTTTCCACAAAGAACACCCGGTGCGGCCCGTGGTACCGGAACACCACAACGCCGGCTGTACGCCGTGCGCGGCACGCCCGCCTTCCACTCCTGGAACACGCCAAACTCCCCCGCCAGCTGCGCAAAGCTGCTCTCGTTGCCATACTCCCACCATCACGTCGTACCCTAGCTCCGATGGGGTTACCACCTCTGTGTTCACGGCTGCGAGGGGGATGAGGGCGCGCGGTGCGCAGCTGGGAGACCATGTAGGGCAGGGTAGCTGACGTCGAGGAGGTAGCTGAGGTCTTTTTGAGCCCAGTTGACTGGCAGGGCGTTGAGCCGGATGGGTGCCAGGTACTGGCTGAAGTACTGCCCCATGCTCGAACCCTGGAGGGAGGGAAGTGGAGCCAGGGACAGGAGGCGCAAATGAGGCGGCATAGGGAGAGGGATTGGAAAAGGTGGATTCAGCAGACGTCAGGGACTGAACAACATCAGCTAAGCTAAGCTAAGCTCCTAGCACTCAAGATCAGCTGAGCTCCTAGCACTCTAAACCACACTGATTGAGACAGAAGGCCACAACCACAAGCATTGAAACTGCACTCAAGTGCTCCTTGGATTTCGGTTTGGCAGGGTTCGGCAGCCACTCACATGCTCGCCAAAGTTGTAGGTGCGGCAGACCTCCGGCCGGATGGTCTGCCTCCCCTTGCGCTGCTCGGGCAGGCGCAGCCAGTCGTCCCAGTAGGCACGCGCCCACTTGGGCTTCAGCTCTGCCCACAGCTCGCGCTTGAGCATCCAGCCCAGCCCTGGGAAGAAGTCCGAGCGGTACAGCAGCTCCGAGTCGTGCACAAACTGCTTCTGCCCGTTGTCGTTCCACGATGACACTGCCAGGATGGACCTGGGGTGGGGGAGGGAGGGCAGTGACAGGAGGAGGAAAAGGGGAGTGATAGGCGGGGAGGAGGACAGCTCGCGCTTGAGCATCCAGCCCAGCCCGGGAACAAGTCCGAGCGGTACAGCAGCTCGCTGTCGTGCACGAATTGCTTCTGCCCGTTGTCGTTCCACAACGACACAGCTAGGATGGACCTGGGGGAGGGGAGGGGGCCAGAGAGAGTGGCAAGAAGAAGAGAAAGTGATGTGCGGAAACAGCCGTTGCTTGAGCATCCAGCCCTGACAGAGGAGTACCAAGAGGAGTACCAAGAGGAGTACCAAGAGGAGTACCAAGAGGAGTACCAAGAGTACTGAGAGGAGTACCAAGAGTACCTAGAGGAGTACCAAGAGTGCCGAGAGTACCGAGAATACCAAGAATGCCAAGCATACGAATCATAGCAAGAACATCAAGAATACGACGCATACCAAGCACACCAAGCACACCAAGCACACCAAGCATGCCAAGCACAGCAAGCATGCCAAGCATACCAAGCATACCAAGCATGCAGCGCAAGACAGCCCAGCGCAAGACCGCCCATCCCATCCCATACCAACTCAACCCACGCAAGCAAGCACTCACTCGTCCACGTCCAAGCACTCACTCGTCCACGTCAAGCAAGCACTCAATCGTCCACGTCAAGCAAGCACTCACTCGTCCACGTCAAGCAAGCACTCAATCGTCCACGACAAGCAAGCACTCACTCGTCCACGGAAGCAAGCACTCACTCGTCCACGCAAGCAAGCACTCACTCGTCCACGTCAAGCAGGTTGGAAGTGGCCTCGAAGTAGTCAAAGAAGTCTGGAGCGAGCTCCATGTCGTCTGGGTGCACGGACGGGAGAGAGAGAGGAGGGAGCGTGTGGGGGAAAGGTGGAGAGGGTTTTTGAGTCGACTCAAAAGTCATCTTTTGAGTCGACTCAAAAGTCACGGGAGAGAGAGAGGAGGGAGCGTGTGGGGGACAGGTGGAGAGGGGAGGTAGGTGGGGTTTAGAGTGGGGAGGCAGCCTCAAAGTAATCAAAGAAGTCTGGAGCATACCCCATGTCGTCTGGATGCATGGACGGGGTTGGGGTAGGTGAGGCAAGATGGGGGCGGTAAGAGGGTGAGGACTAGAGTGAAGAGGCGGCCTCAAAGTAACAAAGTGGGGTGGGGGGTTGGGGGGGGAGAGGGAAGGAAGGGTTCGGGGGTGCGGCGGGTTAGAGAGATGGAGGCATGGAGGAAATGCATGGGAGATGTAGGATGGTGATATGACAAGTTGCAGCATCCCAAGACTGGAAAAGATATTACTAAGATCAAAGCATACTTCCAGCAATCTGAGAGAATGCATTTTTTGAATGGAATTAAAAATTACAAGCCACTGCCAAGAGTTAGAAGGGCTGGCTTCAAAGATCTGGGAAAGGGTACCTTCGAGAATGATGACTCGTGGAAACTGCCTCCGGTCAAAGAGCTCAGTCAACGCAAACTTGTAGTGCTCTGGGGGGAGACCGGGGTGATAGACAGGGGAGTATATTGTCGGACGGGAGCACACTCACAAGTGGTATTAGGAGCGCATGGGAGGATCAACCAGAG